CAACTTTGTCGAAGCTGCAACCCACTCTTAAATACAATTTGGAAAAATGGTCATGAATACGACAAAACGTAACAAAGCATTGAGTTACTTTATTTGAAAATTCATTGGGTATCCCATTGGATAGGGGGGGGGGGGGAGGTTCAGTAGGGCGACTGAACGAAATTAAAGAAAATTGACGTCTTGAACAAAGTTTCTTAAAATGACTTCATCTACAATGTTTCCATAGATGTTTATCAATTTAAACAAGACATAAAAAAGTATTTTGTTTTAAATCTTAGTGTATACCCCCCTTAAGCAAAAATGTTCACTTCTCAACTAAAGTACTCAAAACATGAAGAAACATTCTAAAAGATATCAAAATGCTACACTCAATAGTTTCGTCGCCAATAGCCATGTCCCACTATTTTTGATTTCGACCCACTGTGCGCCGCCGGGATGTTCTGAGGCATAACATCTCAGATCACGTCTTCCTTCGGATGGGAAGTAAAGCCGTTGGTCCCCGGTTCATGAGTTGATGGGTCCAGGTGTGGGAGCTGCCTCCCTGGCGTCGTTCATTGCATTATAAGCTTCCAGCAAACCTCTCTTTGAACGGTCTTGAATTAGCAACAACATTTGTACTTACACATGGTTGTTCCCTAATTTAGGTTTGTGCCAAAAATAATAAAAAAAATTGTCCGAGATCCCTCGGTGGATTATTTCCAAACACGTGCCAAATAAAAGGTAGAAAGCAATATTTTCTAGCGGTGAAAGATTTAGTGATGCTTATTTTTTTTGTTATAGAGTTTCTCCATATATGTACACACCGTGGAAAATGGCACATTCTACCAAGATGTATCCATGATTACGCCTGGTTTTTTGAAAGTTTTTTTTTTTTTACTGTAACTGGAACAAATGAAATGTAACCCTTAAATATTATCGCAGATTTGGAAAGTGTGATAAATTTCATATAATAATTGACCAAGAGTTTATGATTTGAGTAGCTCAAAAAGATTTGCTGAGCAACTATGTTGCGTGACGTTTCAACGTTTTGCAACCTCTACAACAACTACTCACCAAATCGTTTCGTGCTACTCAAGTAAGAAACACTTCATCAATCTTATAGAAAATTTACCACACATTCCAGATCTACAGTAATATTTAGGGGTTTCTTTTATTTTTGACGTAGGATTACATCTTTTGGCAACATATTGGCGGTGTAATTTAAAAAGAAACGAAAATATACCGCGTTACAAAAGTGGTTTTACTCTGTCAATAGCGGATAGATTTTAATTCTAAACAAGCCAATCGATTGGAAATTTTTCTACAAATCTGCTAAATTAAACACTTTATCAATTTTCAATAGGTCACTATTGAAAATAACACAAATGTCCAACTGTTGCAATGGTGAACAAAATTGCCACCGATTGCCTGTAAAAAGCGCTTTCCCTAACACAGATTTCAAAATAGAAGTGTGTTGTGTGTTGGTGGTATCCGGTCATCATCAGTGGCAGCAGCAGTGCTTACCGCGCGTGGCGTTGAACATTGTTCTTCAGTACACAACGAAAGGCTGCCCGCAAGCAGCGAGCTGCAGCCCACATGAGCGTTCATTCATCGAAGAAGGAGGAAGAAGCCGCACCGCTATTGATCGGATTCAGTAGTTCTTCGTGAGTCGCTGTGGGCCATCTATGCCAAACGAGTCACCCTCACTCCAAACAACATGCAGCTCACCATATTCATCCGTGTTGAACACCTTGATAGCTCAACCATCACGACAAAATGGTCTATCGGATGTCAGCTCCCATAAGTTTAAAGCTAATAAACCATGTATTTTTTAGGCAATATTGGGGGTGAAATTTCAAAATCCAAAGTCGGTCGTGGCATGAAAGTGGTCTGGTTTTGGTCCAGAGAATTTTTAATACGCCAATTGTTAGGAAATTTTTCTACGAATCTGTTGAAATGAAGACTTTTGCAATTTTCAAATGGTAACTATTGAAAATTGCATGAATTTTGAAATTATCACAGATTGCCTGCAAAAAGCACTTTTCCTAACACAGATTTCAAAATCGAATTCATTCCGGTCTCGTTGATCGGTGTTTATTCAATCATTTTTAGTTAGAAATCCTCCATTCTATTTTCGCTTTTTTTATTATCTTTTATTATCTATTGGATAAACCAAAAAAAAAAAACCGTGTGATTTGTGCACGAAAATGCATAATTTTGTCATCAGAAAACGAGGCGTTTTCGTGATGGGAAAAAGTAGTTTCCCTAACACAGTCGCTGAATATTAATACCGAGCACGTAATTCTACGTAAATCAAGGGTCAATCAGAGCATGTCCACGTCCCTTGGGGGTTGTGAAAACTTTTCCTGAGTTGAATCTCTGACAAATGGTCAAATGGTCAAATATCGAGCGACAATTGATCGAATTAACAAATGGCCAAAATCCAAAACATAAATCAATTTGAGTTTTATTTTGAAGAATGACTAGTTTTCAAACCTGTTGTTTATTGAAATTTTTTAAATAATTCAATTCAACATTATTAAAACCAAATTTTTCTTGGATGTTAAGTCTTAGCCTGAAAAAATATTTCAATAATGTTGAATCCGAAATACAAATTTAAAAAAATGAAAGTTTAAAGCTGGAGAATTGGTTTCAAGCAATGAAACTTAAGTTTCAGAATCATTACATCCTTCCGACCTTTTGCCCCTTTCGAGCTTTTATCGTTCGATCTTTTGTTATTCGAACTTTTGTTCTTATTATAATAGAAAATTTCTCATTAATTATCGATCCTTAGATTGGTTGTCCAAGTTCTGCCAAATAAGTATTTAGATACGACAATTAGCGATATTCTTTATGAATGGCTTGTTAGACGCTTCACCCTATATGTCTGTATGGAACAATCGGTACACACTTAGAAATAACTACACACTTAGAAAAAATCATGTAAATTTAGGTGCTCTGAGAGTGACATATACGAGCGTCAATTTGGACATAAATTTGATTTATGACTCGAAACTATAGCGAAATATAGCTCAATCAAACGTACTTTTCGTCGAGCAACGAACTTTTCAGTCTCGGAGCACTTAATATTACATGACATGTTTGTTTACGTCTCATCTTTTATGTCAAAGACGGATTCCGTCACGTGTAAAATTAGTTATTTCTAAGTGTGTGATTTTACATGTGACAGAATCCATCTTTGACACAAAGGATCAGGCGTAAACACATATTTCATGTAAAATTAAGTACTCCGAGACTGAAAAGTTCGTTACTCGACGAAAAGTACGTTTGATTGAATTCTATTTCGCGCAAATTGACGCTCGTATATGTCAGTCTTATTCTTCTTCTTCTTCTTCGCATTTCAAGCTTATTGCATATCGCATATTAGCTTATTGCGAGCTCTCAACTTAGTGTTCTAGATGCACTTCCAAAGTTATTAATTGAGAGCTTTCGATGCCTGTACCATTTTTGCATTGGTATAATTGTGTGGCAAGTCCAATCATACTTTTATGCCCAGGGAAGTCGAGACATTTTCCAACCCGAAAAATTCCTAGACCGGACCGGGAATTGAACCCAGCCACCTCCAGCATGGTCTTGCTTTGTAGCTGCGCCTTTACCGACTGAGCTAAGGGAGGCGGGGGGCCTGCATTATGAGCTCAAAGCATCTAAATTTACATGAATTTTTCAAAGTTTGTAGCATTTCTACCCAACTGGCTATCCTTCGTTTCTTTCAATCAACCAACGCCTCCATAAATGGCTGTCTCCAAGGAGACGCATGGTGCTTCATAGCAAACGATCCCCTATGGACAAGTGATGACTTTCACACTGTGCATGGAGTCAAAGCCCCATCCCATCACTGGTAGGTTTCTATTTGCATACATTGAGAAGTAAACAGAATCAGATAATATTCATGTTTATAGGAATTTCCGTTATCAAGGAAACGGCGACGTTATGCACTGGGTGACAAATCCACCATTTCTGATTCCGATTCCTTCTGAAGAAGTGTGCTAAATCGGAAAATTTTCAGCGCAATTACCGATATCGAGGCAGCAACTTCTTATCATTTGTTGTCGTTCTGGGGGAAATGGAAAAACCAAACCGAATTGATTCTGATGGTAATGGTAAATTCTGCATACCAACATGACCCATACCATGGTGCCAAGTAGCGGGTGAGTACGCCAGAATTTCGCGAGAGTGATTTTGCAAACGTGAGAACAAAATAAATTGTCAACAGAACGCGTCACTTCCACACCTTAAACGTCCTCACCACACACAGTGAGCGCTCGATTGGCATCATATCGTGCCAACATATCGACACTCTCCGCCAAGCGGCTGCAATGATGCTAATAAGAGTGGCGTGGCGGTCGGTCTGATGCGGGGGTGTTCTCCCAATTAGCGAAAAGAGCGCATTCTCGTGGACGGCGGACTTTGGACGAGATGAGCGAGAGCGAGAGAGAATCGTCGTCGTCGTTGATTTCGAAAAAAAAAAACTGTTTACACTGTGGGACTGCTGGGCCTGTGTGCATTGCCAACAGTGTATGTGCCATTATTCGATTACTTTTAATGAATTCGCGTATTACCCTGCGGAGAGTGAGACGAGACGGGACGGAAGCCGGTGATGTAGCACGCGACACTTTGGTCTAACGCTTTGTACTTCGTGGGTTGGGATGGATGGTTTAAAACGGACCACTGGTTAAAATGGTCCCAGGCTGTTTTTCATAGTTTTTCGACTGTCATTTTGTGAATCTAACGAGCAGCATTGCTAGTTCAGTACATGAACTAGCATTCTGATCCATTTAATGCCAGAATTAGTACTGGGTAAGCAACGAAAATCCGCGTGGACCCAGTTTTCCCCAGGGGTGCATTATGGACTGTTCTCCCCTACTTACTTCCGAACTTGGATGATGAGGGGGTTGTGACTAAAGGAGGGGGTGGTCAGTATGCTTCTTCTGGAAGATGACACTTTCGGGGCACTTTGGGTGGCAGTCGACGTTGGTCTCCCGAGCGGTTTGGTTGCAAGTTCCCCCAAGTGAATAGGTAATTGGCACCCAGGCAGTGTGGTTAATAGTGGTAGATTCTATTCTTTATTGATTCCTGCTGATGCTTTCTTGGACAGAGTTGATTGATTTCTGGTCCTTTCCGGTACTAATTGGGTGATTGATGCTCTGTGGGTGATCGGTGGATAGTGGTAGTATACAGTCCAGAGCGAAGAGTTAATCATTTTCGGATGATTTCTAGCGTCTAAGTGAATCGTTTTAGTGCATTTCAGGTCAAGAATTATAAAAAAGTAATCGAACTGTGAACGGAAAGGTGTGATTTAAAAGTGATCGATTAGCATACGAATGCAATATATAATAATTACGAACGAGTGTTTGATTCGTGCAATTTGAAACAGATACCATTAGAAAATACGGTTTTGTGGAACTTAATTGGTCGAGGTAGTCAGTGAATATGAATTAGCAGCCAGCCGGGCAGTGCAGCGAAGGATTTAGCGAACGAATTGAACTTTGGTAAGTAATTGAAAATAATTGAGCATTTTTTAAGCTTTGCACTGAGTATAAAATTGGATAAAAGAACTTGCCATTCGCACCCTTTTCTAAACTGTTATATTTTTTTTATTTTGAAGTGGGTATTTACAACACTTTCTCTATCCATTTCATGAAATGTGGATAACTGGTGGTAATTTTTTTTAGTCTGGGTCTTCGACAATTATTCCATGTTTCAGACATTTAAATCTAATAATTTGATTTAAATCCAGTATGTTAATTGTTTTACAATTTTTAAACATGTGACATTCAGAATTTTGGCAGAGTTCTCGATATTTTATGTTTAAGTTCGTCATTTTGAATTTTTCGGTTAGGCTCTGAATCTTGAATTATTTTTCCATATCAAGAATATGGAATTTTGCATTCGAAAAAAAAGACATGAAAAAATAATTCGGTATCTTGAAATTTTTCCAAATTTGAAAACTTGTAATTTGGTCAAATTGTCAAAGTCTTGATAATTTGTCTGATTCCCTGAGGATATTTTTTTCGAAGCTGAGGATATTTTTTTCCAGAAGAAGCTTAACTTTTTTGTTTCTTTTCTGTCACTTAGTTGGTCACTTAGTGACGAGCGATTATGAGCGTCACTTGTTCGTCACTTCGTGACTGTCAAGTGACTGCTGTATTTTTTAGTTACCTGGGGGACGAGTCGTGTCAATGGTGATATTCCGGCAAGAAAGACTGATAACTGTCCATAAATGCAAAGAAGAAAAGGTATCAGTCGTCTAGAACCAGGTGATACTGGAAATCCACAGCAGCAGGCATCTATGGGTAGTGCTGATTAATATTTTAACAAAACCAACCCACCACCTGGTTCTAAATACTGAGTGTCCACCGGAAGGATATCCGGTGACCCGCACCTAACTTAATCTTGATTATTATGTAATTTTGATCAAAGTAGGCCTTGATTATTCTCTTCAACTATATGGAATGAAGTAAACTGGAGATGTTTGATGTATTAGCTAGTCATTGGCTCCGAGTTATCATCAGATGACCCGCCGAAAGATATGGAACATTCGTAAAATTGATTGCTACGTTAATTTGATCAAAGTATGCATACATTTGTTTCGATACTATATGGAATGTAGTAAAATTGTGATTTTTGATATATTAGCTGGTCTTTGGATCTGAGTGGTCATCAGATGGCCCATCGGAAGATCCGGAATATCCGTAAAATTAATTGCTACGTAAATTTCATCAAAGTATGCCTTGATTTGTGTCTGAAACTATATGAAATGTAGTTAGATGGTGATTTTCGATATATAAGCTGGTCATTGGCTCCGAATGGTCTCCAGTTGGTCCGCCGGAAGATCTGAAACATCCTTTAAAATGATTGCTTCGTAAATTTGATCAATATAGGTCATGATTTTTATCTGCAACTGTATGAAATGTAGTAAAATGGTGATGTTTGATATTTTAACTGGTAATTGGATCTAAGTGATCATCAAATGAGCTACCGAAAGATCTGGAACATCCGTAACATTTGTTGCTACGTAAATTTGATCAAAGTATGCATAGATTTGTTCCAATACTATATGGAATGTAGCAAAATTGTGACTTTTGATATATTAGCTGGACATCGGCTCCGAATGGTTACCAAAAGGCCTATCTGAAGTTCCAGAACATAAGTAAAATTGATTGCTACGTAAATTTCATAAAAATAGGCAATTACTTTTCTCTGAAACTATATGGAATGTAGTAAATTGGGATTGTTGTAACATAAATGTTGGTAATTGGTTCAAAGTGGTCACCATAGACCCGCCGGAAGACCGGGGAGGTCCGTAAAATTGATTGCTCTGTATGCATTGCTATATTCACAGGGGTCTGCCTAGTCAGTAAAGGACAGTATAACCAAACTGGAAGCAGCTGGATCGATTTCCAGTCTGCTCGAGGAAATATTTTGGGTTGGAAATTACCTGGGTTATGATTGAGCGTGCCACATAATATACAATTTTATGCATTGGTTGGCTTAGTAACCTCTCAATTAATATTTGTGGAAGTGCATCTATAACAATAAGTTCAGAGCCGTTCCTAAGTTACTTTCAGTTATTTTAAGCCACACATATATGCATCGCCGTTATCAAATGGATATTGGTATTACATACACACTTGAAAATATTCTTTTCAATCCTGGCATGTATTTAGTTTAATTTTGATATTAAATTTGTAAGGAATAATTGGACAGCTCTTTCAACTGCACACCGTTACCGTTGGTTGATTTTTTTTTTGATTCCCTTGTACTTTTTATTTTCGTCTCCGGGAATTTTCTTAACGATCATCACTCCATTCTTATATCGCCTGTGTACTCTATTTTGCTGATTTAACTTTTATTTTATTGTCTCCATGGTATAGGAATAGATATAGATGTATACATTATTAGCAATACTGTGATATAACCACAATGGGATGGTTCAACGGATGTGAAATGAGAAACCATTTAAACTTAACACGTTTTAAAGTATTTCAATGCAACAGTCAATTTTTTGACTAATAATTACTTCACTGCAGCCATATAACAAAATTGTGAGTTGTGATATAAATGCTTATCATAAACTCATTCACAGAATCATGAACATATAACATTAATTGCTTTCTATGTTTGGTTGAAGAATGTAGTGATTTTATTCTGCAACAATATTGAATGTAACAAAACGGTGCTTTTGAGAAATAAGATGGTAATAGACTCTGAGGGATCCTCCGGTAGACCTTAAACATCCGTAAAACGGATTGCACTGGGCAATCCACTGGAGAACACGGAGCATCTGTTAAATTGATAATATTGTGTATTTGGTCCTAAAATGCAAGGCATTTTTCACTAGAATATTACCAAATACAACAACGCAAAATTGATAGGTTCGTGTATATTATATTATTTCTACAACATTATAGGATGAACCAAATGGCAATTTTCCTGAAATCAAACCATAAGTTTCAAACGGGTTTCGGATGGTTATCTAGAAGATCAATAATACCCATACAATGGATTGCATCGTAGATTTGGCCTAAAGTTATTTTTCTCTGAAGCTGAAGACGATGATCGAAGGGGTTAGGTCTTAATAATTTGCCACACTTGTTAGTTCTTTTTTTTTTTTCCTTGATTTGTTTTCCATCGATCTTGTTTTCCGTGCTGAGCACCTATGCTACCGACGCCAGGGAGGCAGCTCCCACACCTGGACCCTGCCTATCGACCCATCAAACTCATGAACCGGGGACTAACGACTTTACTTCCCATCCGAAGGAAGGCGTGATCAGAGATTTTATGCCTCAGAACATCCCGGCGGCGCCGACTGGGATTGAACCCAGGCCAGCTGGGGTGAGAGGTAATCACGCTTACCACTATACCACCGGCGCCGCTATTGTTAGTTCTTTATAGATCATTTTACGAAACGACAGGATCTTCTTTAACAGACAGATTTTGATACTATTGATGTTACTTCGTACAGCATTTACACAGCAAAAAAAAAAATTATTTTAATATCACATCAAAGTGGATGCACTTCACTCGTGTCAAAAATATGGTGTAATATTACTTGCCAAATTGGACAAATTAATCATTAATACAGTGCATGAACTGACATTACGCTGCTTTTACTGCATTTGTTTATTTTTGTGGCTATAAAAATTACATGAGATTTTCGACATGACTGAAGCGCATCCTCTTGGATGTAATATTAAAATTTATTTTTGCTGTGTAGGTAGCTGCCTCTTGTCAAAGCTCACTTATGCGTTGAAGAAATAGCTGATCAGAAACGTCTCGTAAAATTCTCCATACACTGTTTGCTTTCGTATCACAGTGACGGTTTCATTGGGTTAGTTTTGTAACGTTTCATGATGATGATGATGATGATGATGATGATGGTCCCACCTCAAACCCCTACAAAGGTTTGAGCTGGATGATTTATCTTTCAGATAATTACATATGACATTTTAACCAGGTTTTCAAAAACAAAATCGCACTGGTTACAGTTACAGATATAAATTTCCTCTAGAGTTTACAGTTGCTTCATAGCGATATAAATGTGGAAAAGCTTAGGCGTCCACCTCTTAGTTCGCCTTTTTGTCCACCTAAAATATTCATAAGTATTACAAGCAATAAAGAGTTAATGCATAATCAACGAAGCATCCTATTACACTAGCAACCCCTCAATCTGATACTATCATAGTTTTCAGCAATGTCAGGAATGCTCACGAACCCCCAACATTTGCCAGAAAACTTACTACTAACTCAAGGTATCTTCCGAATAAGCTTCAAAATTGCATTTTTTTTTTGTCAAATTTTAAATGCAGTCCTCTATATCCATAATACACGCGCGAGGCTCAAATTATTAATCTACTACTATTAAATCAAATATTAAAAATCCATCATCACCATCGTGGCGAACAGAAATAGTTTTTGCAGTGCTACAATAATTATTAAAAAAAAGTCGTTATGACAACTATTCATATAAAATAATTCGTTAGAGATAACTTCGTCAAGATTCATAATTTGTCAATTCATAAAAAAAATCACTGGATAACTGTTCAAAAGACAGTTTTAACGTGTGAAATGCAGTGTTTTTAAATTCTGTAAGTATTGCTGAACGTGTGATATGTCAAGGCATCGAATTGAAAACATTTATTCCTTTAAAATATAATGAATTCTGTGAAGCACAAGTTAAGAAATGTGGTGTTCTTATTTCATCCGCGTTTCTAGTATTATATCTATGAAAGTCACTTCCTCTCTCAATTCGATCACACAAATATCGAGGCAGCAAACCGTTAACTACTTTAAAAGCTACAAGGGACAGCTCTATGGGGCTGTACGCAATGGTGACGTAGGACTACGTGATCTTATATTATAAATGTTATTTGTTAACTGCAGCAGGAGATTGTGTTTTGTGTAGGAATAGGAATTTAGTATGACTCACAGCGACTCACGAAGAGCAACTGATTCCGATCAATAGCGGTGCAGCTTCTTCCTTCTGCTG